AATTGGGCCTCCCATTCTGCTCCAGGCCCCGAAATCTGCCAGGGCCCCTGTACCCCTCCCATGCTGCGCCAGGCCAGAGTCTCTCAGGGGCCCCTGTACGGCCTCCCATTGCTGCTTTTTCCATCGCCACACTCGCCATTCCCAAACTTTCAGGTCCCTCACACGGCGGGTGTTCCTTTTTTTGTCATGGGGGTTGCGGCAGATTACGGTTCCCATTGCTCTGCCAGGCCCGAACTCCATGGGCCCCGTACCGCCTCCTCATGCTGCCCAGCCCAGAGTTCCATGGGTCCCTGTACGGCCCCCCTTGCTGCTGTCTCCACGCCACACTCTGCCATGTGCCCTTTCGGGTCCCTCACACGGGTGTTTCCATTTTTTGTCATAGGGTGCTCGGCAGATTACGGGCCTCCATTGCTTGCTACGCCAGGCCCATAATCTGCCTTGGGCCGCCAGTACCCCCGCCTCCCTATGCTGCTGCCAGGTCCCACAGCTCTCTCATGGGTCCTGTACGGCAATCCCATTGTGCTGCTGTCTCCATCGCCACACTCTGCCATGTGCCATTTCAGGTCTCCTCACACTGCTGGTTGTTCAATTTTTTTGTCATAGGGTGCTGCAATTACGGGACCTCCCTTAGCTGCTGCCAGGACACTAATCTGCCATGGGCCCATATATTACCGCCTCCTCAAATGCTGCAGCCCAGTCCAGAGTCTCATCATAGGGGTCCCTGTACGGCTCCTCCATTGCTGCTGTCTCCAATCGCCACACTCTGCCATGTGCCACTTTCAGGTCTCCTCACACTGCTGGTGTGTTCCATTTTTTTGTCATAGGGTGCTGGCAGATTACACGGGCCTCCCATAAGCTGCTGCCAGGCCCACTAAATCTGCCATGGCCCCCTGATATTACCGCCATCCCTCATGCTGCTGCCACAGTCCTAGAGTCTGTCATGGGGTCCCTGTGAAACGGCCTTCCTCACCCAACATGGGCAGCTGTGTTGTGTTGAATTTTTTTGACGAGGGTGCTGGCAGATTACGGGCCTCCTCTGGCCCATAGCTGCTGCCAGGCCCCTGTAATCTGCCATATAAGCCCCAACCTTGCCTCCTCCTATGCTGCTCTTCCAGGTCCACAGTCTCTCATGGGTCCCTGTACGGCCTCCCATTGCTGCTGCTGTCTCCATCGCCACACTCTGCCATGTGCCACTTTCAGGTCTCCTCACACTGCTGGTGTGTTAATTTTTTGTCATAGGGTGCTGGCAGATTACGGGCCTCCCATAGCTGCTGCCAGGCCCCCTAATCTGCCATGGGCCCCTGTACCGCCTCTCTCATGCTGCTGCCAGGTCCACAGTCTCTCATGGGTCCCTGTACGGCCTCCCATTGCTGCTGTCTCCATCGCCACACTCTGCCATGTGCCACTTTCAGGTCTCCTCACACACTGCTGGTGTGTTCCATTTTTGTCATAGGGTGCTGGCAGATTACGGGCCTCCCATAGCTGCTGCCAGGCCCCTAATCTGCCATGGGCCCCTGTATACCGCCTCCTCATGCTGCTGCCAGGTCCACAGTCTCTCATGGGTCCCTGTACGGCCTCCCATTGCTGCTGTCTCCATCGCCACACTCTGCCATGTGCCACTTTTCAGGTCTCCTCACACTGCTGGTGTGTTAAATTTTTTGTCATAGGGTGCTGGCAGATTAACGGGCCTCCCATAGCTGCTGCCAGGCCCCTAATCTGCCATGGGCCCCTGTACCGCCTCCTCATGCTGCTGCCAGGTCCACAGTCTCTCATGGGTCCCTGTACGGCCTCCCATTGCTGCTGTCTCCATCGCCACACTCTGCCATGTGTCACTTTCAGGTCTCCTCACACACTGCTGGTGTGTTCCATTTTTTGTCATAGGGTGCTGGCAGATTACGGGCCTCCCATTGCTGCTGCCAGGCCCATAATCTGCCATGGGCCCCCGTACCAACTCCTCATGCTGCTGCCAGGCCCGTAATCTGTCATGGGCCCCTGTTGTCGCTTGTTGGCATATTCCGCTCGTTCAGATGCTCCTTCTCCTGCTACTCTCTTCACGGATTCCGTCAGCAGTCTTTCTTGGAATCCGTTTCCAAGAGACAACAGTTTGCGAGCACAGCACCAACGGTGCAGAAGCTGAAACGTTAAAAACGTCCTCCTGCAAGTTGCTGCTGCCAGGCTCGTAATCTGTCATGCGTCCCTGTACCCCCCGCCACCTCATGCTGCTGCCAGGTCCAGAGTGTGTCATGGGCCCCCGTACCGACTCCTCCATGCTGCTGCCAGGCCCGTAATCTGTCATGGGCCCCTGTACCGCCCTCCTCATGCTGCTGCAAGGTCCAGAGTGTGTCATGGGTCCCTGTACGGCCTCCCATTGCTGCTGTCTCCATCGCCACACTCTGCCATGTGCCACTTTCAGGTCTCCTCACACTGCTGGTGGGTTCCATTTTTGTCATAGGGTGCTGTATGGCCTCCCATTGCTGCTGGCCTCCACCTGCCCAACACTGTGGCTCCACACTCTGGTTTTGGCCCCGTGACTGCCCAAATGAGTGAAGTGTGCGGTGATTCTAAGATCGACGGCACTCATCTGCATGTCATACTGACTGACAGTATTATTTCTCTTCCCCAGCAGACTCCAAGGGCATTTAAATTAAAGGTACAGTGTTCTGCACTAATATAAAGGCTCTCTGAAGCTAGAAACCACCCTTTTATAAGTTAAATTCGCAGCGAATATATTCGACTCGAATCGAAATTTTTTCAACGAATTCGCCGAATCAGTCGAATCGAATTTTTGAATAATTCGCTCATCTCTAATTATATCCTTTTCCTCTACACTCCTAGTCTTAAAGTAAAACTTTAGTCTAGATCACTTCAGGCCCCTTTTGCAGGTATAGCTATGTAAAACATTAAACATAAATGCCTATACTGTTTAAAATCCAGTAATACATTTGCCTCACCCTGCTCTGCACATGTTCATTGCTCTCTATTTTTAGGCACTGTGCCAAATTTGTCCGATCTGCTGACAGCCTAAAGATTTACTGCTGCTCAGAAGCTCTGGGTTTCAGCAAAATGGCAGCCTCCAGCAAGAAGAAACAGGAACATTGCTGGAGGCAATTTACAGCACACAGTTGAGCCACATTTTCAGAATCCCCCAAAATGTTCTCCCCTAAGCTGCAAGGGCACAGATAGGAGTGTACACATGCCACAAACACTATGCTTTGCATCGCGCTTGGCAAAAATGATCCACCTATCATGTTCAGCATCAAATTCAACTGAATAGGGCCAAACCGCAACTGACCTGCAACCAGGTGCAATGCGTGCGGTTGAGGTGCACATTTTTAGGGAATAAAGCAGTTGGTGAGGTGGTGACATAATGCCTCCTCACAACCTGTCAAATGCCACTGAAAAGCAGCCCACTGCCATTCACTCTCTCAGAGGGCCATGCTTCTGTAAACTAACCCTAAGGCACCAGGTACTGGAGGGAAAAGGTTTAGACAACTGATTGGTGACAGTGGAGACCTCTCCATTGGTAATATGATCATTCACATTCCAATCAGCAGTTAGAGACTATAGGAGTGATACAGCTTTAAAGTGATACTAAACACACACTGTTTAATTTACATTATCTCTTCTCTTTCTGTATGTGGATGATGGCACTGGAATTATTTTAATAAAACGTCTAGGTGCCTTTTATCCTTTTCAATTTACAGCTGTCACATGACACAGCTCTTTCCCAGCCTGTCTGTAGGTAAACAGCGGCAGGAGGAGCTTCTAGTCCTCTGCTGCTGGTCACATGTTCAACATTAAAAAAAACAGCCTTTGGGCTACAGAGAAAAATAAATCATTAATTTCAATAAACTGCTTTAAAATCGGCATACAAATATGTATTTGAAATGAAAAGTTTATTATTTTTGGCAATAACATGATGTGGGTGGAATTCTGGAAGTCACAGGCTGTATCATGCCCCTCCAGCCTGTGTCTTAGAATAACAGGGAGGTGAAGCCTCCATCAATCAAGATGTAATCTACCACCCCTATTGTGTTTAGCTGGTTAGTTGGCAGAGAGGAGAGAGGGAGTGGGGGCTGTCATTTACCACTGTGTATATGCCCACATGTGTAAATCTATAGTCACATGGGCTGCTCAGATGTGATTGGGAGGAAATCCTTAGTGTAGAAATACACTGAAAACTGTGCATGTGCAATGGGGCGGACTGACCATTTGGAAATGGACTGACCATTTGGAAACTGAGCCCGGGGTCAGTAGGGGGCCCCATGAGATGCCCCTGGTACCTTTTTCATAGGCTTTTTTTGAGTTTGGGAAAGGACACAGGGGCCCCATGATCCCCTATTGCCCGGGGGCCCCATGAGTTGTCAGTCCGCCCCTGATGTGCAATAGCTGCCAACAGCAGACTGCTCTTCAAGATCCCCAACTGCATGGGGGACATGGACAGGAGGGGGAGATAGATAGTAGCAAGATCAACCAGGTTTTTTGTAGAATATAGAAAACAAATCTCATAGTGACCAAGTACCGTATTTGCCGGCGTATAAGACGACTGGGCGTATAAGACGACCCCCCTACTTTTCATGCTAAAATTTAGTGTTTGAGCTATACTCGCCGTATAAGACTACCCCTCTTCCAATGCACACCAGTGGCAGGAATAGTGTCCCATCATTGGTATCAGTGGCAGGAATAGTGCCCCATCATTGGTATCAGTGGCAGGAATAGTGCCCCATCATTGGTATCAGTGGGAGGAATAGTGCCCCATCATTGGTATCAGTGGCAGGAATAGTGCCCCATCATTGGTATCAGTGGCAGGAATAGTGCCCCATCATTGGCATTAGTGGCAGGAATAGTGCCCCATCATTAGTATCAGTGGCAGGAATAGTGCCCCATCATTGGCATTAGTGGCAGGAATAGTGCCCCATCATTGGTATCAGTGGCAGGAATAGTGCCCCATCATTAGCATTAGTGGCAGGAATAGTGCCCCATCATTAGTATCAGTGGGAGGAATAGTGCCCCATCATTGGTGTCAGTGGGAGGAATAGTGCCCCATCATTAGTATCAGTGGGGGGAATAGTGCCCCATCATTGGTATCAGTGGCAGGAATAGTGCCCCATCATTAGTATCAGTGGGGGGAATAGTGCCCCATCATTGGTATCAGTGGGGGGGAATAGTGCCCAATCATTGGTGTCAGTGGGAGGAATGGTGTCCCAACATTGGTGTCAGTGGGAGGAATGGTGTCCCATCATTGGTGTCAGTGGGGGGTGGAATAGTGCCCCATCATTGGTGTCAGTGGGGGGGGGAATAGTGCCCCATCGTTGATGTCAGTGGGGGGGAGGAATAGTGCCCCATCGTTGGTGTCAGTGGGGGGGGGGGAAAGTGCCCCATCGTTGGTGTCAGTGGGAGGAATAGTGCCCCATCGTTGGTGTCAGTGGGAGGAATAGTGCCCCATCATTGGTATCAGTGGGAGGAATAGTGCTCCATCATTGGTATCAGTGACACCAATGATGGGGCACTATTCCTCCACTGACACTTGCTGACCCTGTTCTCGCATGGTGCTGCTGCAGCCAGCATATGTGGTTGCAGCAGCACCTCTACACTGACCACTTACCTGCTGGTCCTGCACTCAATTTTCGCGGGGCCGCTCGACTCCACCCCCTCGCCGGTGATTGGCCGCCTGTGTGCCTTTCCTGAGCTACAGTTCTGGCGGCCAATCACTGGTGAGGAGGCGGAGCCGAGCAGCCGCACGAACATCCAGTGGCCGAACTGAAGGCGCAGCCACGCTTCCTGGACCGGATCGTCGTGGGACCGGAACCAGGTAAGAAACAGCCGCTGCCCACCCCTGTACTTAGTGTCCCTTCCATTGGGGGAAGGGGGGGGCGGCGGCGGCAACGTGCCGCCCCCCTAAAAAGTGTCAGTATGCCGTATACCGGCGTATAAGACGACCCCCGACTTTTGAGAAGATTTTTCAAGGGGTAAAAAGTCGTCTTATACGCCGGCAAATACGGTAAGTATGAACAGCATGTAAGACAGCATTTGATTTTAGTTTTTAATGATGTGGGTTTAATGACACTTTAAGAAAAGAAACCCTATTTAATTCAGTTTATGTATTCATTAAAATACTATTTTTATATAGTACAGTAATCTGTAAATTTTTTTTATTTGTAATAGCTTTCTGTAATCCTCTGCACATCACCATCTGGAAATGGAGGAGGCAGCATTCTTAGCATTGCACAGTGCTCTGAAACTAACAAATCGACTTTGTTGATTGGAGGAGAGAGCACAGAGCTGACCTAATCAATGAACTGTTCCTTCACAAACCAATCCCAACTTTGCTTTCACTGTAGTGAGATTTAAATAGTCAGCACTTTGCAAAAGGTCTTGATGTTACAAGTGTGTCTAATTACAAACTGGCTTTTTGGCAGGTAGCATATCTTACACTTATGTATTAGAGTGTTGAATTTGATGTTTATTTATTTATTACTGGAACGTATATAGCGCTGTCAATTTACATTATACAGTATTGTACAATCACATCAGTCCTTGCCCTCAAGGTGCGTACAATCTAAGGTCCCTTACTCATATATACACATACTAGGGCCAATTTAGACAGCAGTCAATTAAACTACGTAATTAGGTAGGTTAATTATAAACTGCCATCACACTGCTATTGCAGGTACCGATTAATAAATAACATCATTGTAATGCCAAATAACTTTACCTTGCAATGGCCACTCCTTACTCCAGTCACTCCAAAGAATTGAATCTGTGGAATATCGTGGTAACCTCACCCGTACCTTTACAGTGTATGTGACATCAGAAAGAACATTGGGAATGTCTGTGCTTAAACCTATAATATCCTAAAAGATAAAAAGGAAGCTGGGAATAGTCATTTATTACAGTTAATACATATCACATATTACTGGGATTCAAAGCTGCAATTACAGTTCATACCTGCAGTGTATCACAGGCAAACATTTTCAATAGATCAGTCTGTATGTTAAACACCTATTAAACTGCAGTGAACAATTATTGGTTTGCTAGTGTCCTATTTGTGTCATGCTTTATCCTCTGCCCTTAAGACCCTGCCATTGGCACATCTTTCTCATGACTGACATACATGGCTGGGACATTACCACTTCATGCATTAGGAGAAAGGGGGTGAACTGTCAGTGCTGTTTCAAAGGGGGCAGGGGGAACAATAAATAATACGTAGCCCAGACCATCTCTAAACCAACCTATAATAATACACTATTTAAATAATATTGCATTATAGGTTTATTACTACCTATTCTTTAGGTACTAAAATACCCTCTATATTACCCGCAAAATATTAACAGCTTGTCACTGTCACAAGAAAAGTATAAGTTTAAAAGATATTACCATGCTGATCCTTTGGTTTCAGTGGATGTGAGTCATTGATTCAACAGAAGTGGGCGACCAATGAGGTTTACTTCCCTTTATTGCCTTTCATAAGGCATACAGCAACATGCAGTAACCCATACCCACCAACTGGTGAATGTTTGGACTACAGTAGCTGAAATGTAATTTGTATGAGCAACTGTTGGGAGTTAGAAAAAGCAAACACTTGGGTCCTGTGCCCCTGCCTCTGTTGCCTGCCAGCTCCCATTGGGGAATAGGGTGGGTCAGTAACCCATCAGGAACAGTTTGATCCTCTTCACTAATGCAGCTAGTTTTGCTTTAACCTGGTTGTAAACCTCAGACATGAAATAGGAACAAAGAATATCCATTTATACGGTGTACTTGTCTCAATAAAGAGCACAAAGTGTCATTTCTGTGTGCGGTCTTGTTCCTCTGCTATCAGCATGAGTCACTTCTGGCAATTTTTCCTGATACCAAGAGAAAACAGACAAGGGAGGGATCTCAAGCACACCACCTTTGATTGACAGCCTCAGCTCTGTTCCTGGGTGCTGTGTGAAGGGGAGGGGTGTCCCTTCCCTCCAATCAGCTCTCACAATAACCCCCACTGAGCATTGCAGTGTGTAATTTTAACAAAACAAATAAAGGAGTGCTCCAAACCCTGTGGAAGTCAATAGAGAAAACTTCAATAGAGTCACAAGCCCAGGAACAGTTAAAATCGAAATCCACTTTATTGTTGGGTTAAAAAGCATGACATGTAGGAGTGCCCAGATTGATACATCACCAAGCTACTGGAGAGGAGAAACACATATTCCCAGAAGCTGGCAGATGACACATGATCTTGGACCCAACAGTAGGGTGTTCAGCCAAGGAGCCTCAGGACAGTGGAAAGGGTATATGTATGGCAGCTTCTGGAATCACTAAGATGGTGCGTCTGCCAGAAGTCACGTGTCCTTGATCCAGTTGTTATGTCATACACCTGGCAAGAGACTGCCCGAACAAGGGCTGGTGAGGGCAAACTGGAAGCCTAGGGGAGCACTCAGACCTTGTCAAACCAAAGGAGAGAAGCTGGTCATCATGAAAACATGTTTCTGAGGAAGGGGCAAGTCCCTGAAACATCTCTGTGTATCACCTGAGGCCAGTCACTTCACTGGGTATAAGTAAGGGTTTACAATCACGTTAAGGTCTGACATAGAAGTGACCATGGCAAAGTACAGGCAGTGATCTCTGTAATGGAACACAGCGATAAATGACTGCTTGCCTCTGCATTAAAGTTAAAGTATTATATTAAACCCAAAAGTAAACATTTATTATATTGCAGTTTAACAATTTTTAGATGTGGCGTTGTTTGTTTTCTCAGGCATGCTTTCCTTTATTTTCACCTAGTGATCCTATCAGTTGATGTGTTGTTTTTCAAGCAAGCTTTCCTACAGATGTAGCAGTTGGAGGGCTGAGACAAAACATCTACCACAGACAAGGGTGCTTACAATGATCAGATTTTATTTATTTATCCTTTATTGCAAAAGAAAAATAATCAGTTGCTGTATTTCCCTAAAATGTGTGAGCTGGAGTTTGTCTTCAGTTTGTTACAGTATCAAAGTCTGCTAACACATCAAACATTCCCCTCCCTCAAGATTAACAATGCTGTCAGATGTCATGTGTCCCAGATCCAGTGTCCCTGTTGCTCATTCATCCAACATGGAGGCACCCAAATACAGGACGTGTGTTACTGGCCTAGTGAAAAAAAACCAACGCAGCCAACAAATCTAAAGATTGGTAAGCTGCAATATATTCAATCATTTTTCCCTGATGAAGCCACGTGACCGGTGGCGTAACGCGTAGGGGAGGGGCTCCGACGTCATCGCGTGCAGTCGGCTTTTCTGGTGAGTACAGACACAGTGTGTGTTAACACACTGCTACCTTTTCTTCTTAAAGGCTTGTTTATTTTAATGAAAATGTGAGTGTGACAGACAGAGTTTGGCAATAAAAGGAGTTTTATAAGGATAAAGCACTATCTTCTGTTTTTCTTTGCAATTATATATGTGGAGTTTGCTGGAGTAATTCTGGAGGATTGTTCCCCTGGAGGGGAGAAGGAGGGAAGATTCATCCAACCATCCACACACCCATAGATCCATACAAGATAATGAGGAGAGGAGGAGTGACACCAGGTTAACCAGGAAAACTGCGGTTTGGAGAGATTGTTTGAAGGTGATAAGCAGCCAAGCATACTTTATCCTTTTATAGGATAAACTGCGTGATTTAGCCTGTTGAGGCTGGAGACGGAGGTGAGCGCATGATAGAGCTGTATTTATGCTGCAAAAGTTTTTGGAACCTGGAGTGTATTCATCTAATTAGCACAGATTTCTCAAAAAGAAAGAGGACTCTTATGTATCAGTCTCTGGATATACAATGATACATTTATTTCCATAGTATAAAGGGATTGTATAATCACAGTGGACATTTGTTCTTTTCACATTTTGTTTTGTTTTTTTCACATTTTATTTATATTAGATTTTATTTTATTTTATTTTTTACACGTAATCAATGTGTCTTTGATGATAATAATAGAGGAGCGCAGCATGATATTTATCTATATATTGGTTGACAATATTGTATGAGTTGGTGTGGTGTGTTTGCGAACCTAAAAAAATTTTTTTGGATTTAATATATGTTTATTGAATATTTTTGGGTTGTGTTTGCAGAGAATTCACTGTATTGGCTCACAGGTGGACAGCTGGTTTTGGATATTCAATTTCAAGTTTTGGGTTTAATACCACTTCAACCTTTGGGCAGATGTAAAGGACACAAATGAATACAGCTTTGTATTAAAGACACATAATGTAGCTTCATATTATCTAATAAATACTTTTTGTAAATACAACTAGGCTAAGGACCATAATTTGACTTGTTATCAGTCTCTTGCAATCCACATACAGAATTATTTGGACTGGCAGAAGGAGGGGCAGGACTGGGACCAATCTGGTGAGTTGCATGCAGATATGTTGACAAGAGTGAGTAGAGGGATAACCTCGTCAGTCTGATGTTTCTCTTTTGCTGTTCAGTCAGCAGGCTGTAACTCTTTACTGTAAGGGGTGTCATCTACCCAGCTGTGCAA